GTTTTATTTTTAATTAATAATGATGTTTGTATTTGTTATAAAAATAATGAGATATTTTAAAAAACTGATTTGTTACACAAGTCGGATTTTCTATTTTATATATGTAATTACACTTCCTGTGACATATCGTTTGACTGATATGTGAAAATAAATTCGAAATTCGTGTCACATGAATTTTTTTAAAAATATCTCGTGATTTTTATAATAAATTCGAACTTTGTTGTTAGAGTAAAATGAAAGTACTCCATTAAAGCTTTCTAATCTTATGATATATATTCAATCAACATCTACTACATGTTGCATCTATTATTCTATTCTTTTCAACATTACACTACGACATAGCTACTATTAATATCAGTAAAGTAGATATAGCAATAACAATAATTTTATTTATAATCCAAACCAACAACAATATAACATTTAATTATTTTTTTTTTGACTTCTCTCTCTCTCTCTCACTCTCCACACTCTCCCTCTCTCTCTCTTGAAACGACTGAGCTAAAAAATAGCAATAGTTGTAGTAGTGATGTCAACATTAATAAACTTATGGACCTTCAAAAACAACTATTAAATATACACCAGCAAACACTTAATATCATATCCAAAAAATCAACCACCACCACTACCACCAGCAGCACATCTCCATTAATGTCCTCGGACAGGGTCTATATATTGGCTTCCAATTCTCTGTGGCCAACAAAGAAGGGCCCGTGTTTTTTTTGTGCCTACTATGGTCACCATATGGATACGTGTCCCAACACAAAAAAAAATTTTTTGGGTAAGACTTGCCACAGGTGTTTCAATATCCACGACAATAATGACGAACATGTTGCGGCTGAATGTCCATATGAGGAACCTGTTGATTTTTTAAGAGACGGATTCAAGTTCCCAGCATATTTTAATGAAAAAAATTATTTGATAGACGATGACGAAACATCCGAAGTTGGCAGCACTAAAACCAAATAAATTTTTTTTCATAGAGCAAAAAAAAAACTTTTTTTCATAAAGCAAAGATCAAAAAAAAACTATTTTTTAATAATTAGTCACATTTCCAACATTCTCTCTTTATTACGAAAAAAAAACCATTTTTTGAAAAATAATATATCACATTTTCCAATATACTTACTCTCTTTACAAGAAAATTTTTTTTTCATATAGAGCAAAAAAAAAAATTCTTTATAATTAATAAATATCACAATCTCTTTATAACACACCCCCATTCTTTCACGCACACTCTTTTAATTTTCATATAGAGCAAAAAATAAAAATCTTTTTTTAAATAATTAATCAATACACATCTCCTCACTCTTTTTCACATTCTTTCATATATTACAATACAATGATATAAATAAATAAATAGTTTTTTTAATTACGAAATAATTAAATTTACACAATCACTCAACAATAAACAATAATTTTTATTAATAGTAATAGTTTTTAATAGTAGTTTTTTAATAGTAGTTTTTTGTAAATAATTTTTTATTATAATATTTTTTTTTCAATAATAATTGTAATTTTGATGATGCTGGTTGTATTTTTGTATGCCTAGGTGGCAGGTATTGTCATCATCATCAAATTTTTAAAGGCACTAACTTGTAGTATCTTGGAACCATCACGGGATGGGGGTATTATAAGTGATGCCACATATATTTTTTTTTCATTTTTAATCAAACAATAAAGAATAATTATTCACGTAACAATATATTATTATAATTACTAATAATTATATTATTATTATATATTATTCCAACATCTCTAATAATATTAACATTATAATTGCTTGCATCACCAACATCGTCTTATATATTCATTTGATGTACAAAAAAATTGTTTTTGATTTTTTTAAACTTTCGCAACTGATTTGAATCCAAAATTTTAAAAATTTGTAATTCTACCAATTCTTGAGAGAAGTTGACGATCTTATATTCATTTGAAAGCTAAATTTCTATCATTAATCATACTAAAAAATTGTATGTTGTTATTATGTAAACTTTAAAGATCGTTGGAAGTTAAAATCTCAACAATCTACACCTATATAATCAATTTAATCATTATAATTTGATTTAATCTTCAAAATTTAATTGATTGAAATAAAACCTTTTTAGTTTTACCTGCTTAACCTATATGTTATGCTTATGCATTCATTGATGTATAAAAAAATTGTTTTGATTTTTTTGAACCTTCACAAACTGATTTGAATCCAAAATTTAAAAAATTCATAATTCTACCAATTCTTGAGAGAAGTCAACGATCTTATATTCATTTGAAAGCTAAAGTTCCATCATTTATCATAATAAAAAATCGTAAGTTGTTGTTATGTAGACTTTAAAGATCGTTGGAAAGTTAAAATATCAATAATCTATGACTATATAATCAATTAATTATTATCATTTGATTTAATCTTCACCAAAATTCAATTGATTGAAATAAAAATATTTTTAGTTTTACCTATATGTTATGCTTATACATGATTACCATTGATGTATAAAAAAATTGTTTTTGATTTTTTTGAACCTTCGTTTGAATCCAAAATTTAAAAAATTCGTAATTCTACCAATTCTTGAGTTAAGTTGACGATCTTATATTCATTCGAAAGCCGAAGTTCCATTGTTTATCATACTAAAAAAATCGTATGTTGTTATTATATAAAATTTAAAGATCATTGGAAAGTTAAAATCTCTATGATCTATGCTATATAATTGATTAATCATTATAATTTGATTTAATCTTCACCAAAATTCAATTGATTGAAATAAAAACTTTTGTAGTATATATTACCTCAACCTATATGCTATGCTTATACATGATTATCATTCATTGATGTATAAAAAAAAATTGTTTTTGATTTTTTACTGATTTGGGTCCAAAATTTAAAAAATTTGTAATTCTACCAATTCTTGAGCTAAGTTGATGATCTTATATTCATTCGAAAGCCAAAGTTCCATGATTTATCAACCAAAAAAATCGTATGTTGTTATTATGTAAACTTTAAAGATCGTTAGAAAGTTAAAATCTCAACAATCTACACCTATATAATCAATTAATCATTATAATTTGATTTAATCTTCACCAAAGTTCAATTGATTGAAATAAAAACTTTTGTAGTATATTACCTCCTTAACCTATATGCTATGCTTATACATGATTATCATTCATTGATGTATAAAAAAATAGTCTTGGATTTTTTTTTACACCCAAAAGTTTAAAATTTCAAAATTTTGTAATTCTACCAATTCTTGGCATAAGTTGACAATCTTATATTCATTTGAAAGCCAGAGTTCTATCATTAATCATACTAAAAAAATTGTATGTTGTTGTTATGTGGACTTTAAAGATCGTCAGAAAGTTAAAATCTCAGCAATCTACACCTATATAATCAATTAATCAATTATCATTTGATTTAATCTTAACCAAAATTCAATAAAAAATTTTGTAACCTCACCTTCACAATTTATATGTTATACTTATAGATTATTACCATTCATTGGTGTATAAAAAAATAGTCTTGGATTTTTTTTTACACCCAAAAGTTTAAAATTTCAAAATTTTGTAATTCTATCAATTCTTGGAATAAGTTGATGATCTTAGATTCATTTGAAAGCTAAACTTTCATCATTAATCAACCAAAAAAATTGTATGTTGTTATTGTGTAGACTTTAAAGATCGTTGACAGTTAACCACTCACATTAAAATTCCTTGGTTTGATTAATATACAAAAAACCAATATTTTGCATCTCTCTTCTCCTTTTCCTGGTATCATTATATTTGCTTGCTTAACCATTATTAATTACATTTATCATTGTAGGAATAAAACATAAAGGAATTTTTAATGTCTATTTATAAAAAACCATAAACCATATTTATATAATATTATCTTTTTGATATTATTGATTTTTAAAATAAATGATTTTACTATAAAAGACATACCTAAGTGATCAAGAGCCTGTAAATATTCATAATAATGTAATATTTGGGTATTTATTTCTACTTTTGTTTGCAATTGGACGTGCCAAACCAATTTCTGCATATACGAGTATAAAGGCAAAATTTGACTTTGAGGGTCAGATTATTTTCGGTTTTATTAACAACCTGCCTTAAAAATTTTCATAAAGCAGATACATATGATAAAGAAATTATATATCAAATTTGGTGGTGGTTGCTACACAGCAAG